GAATGATAAATTTGTGGTACATGAGTGTATTTTTGTATGTATTACGTATATATATATATTATATAGCTGTTTAAAATATATATTTGTGTGGGATAAGGGTAACATCCATAAACGTCAGGTGTGTGAGAACGCAGAAGGAAGGAGTCCCAGGAGGAGAGCCAGCTGCCACCCAAAGATTGTGCCAACGCAGTGAATACCCCGCTCTAGATATCATTCACCTACCCACATCCACAACAACAACAGACTTGGACTATTGCTGGTCGTAGCTACTACTTCTATAAATATTAATCTAAAATACGTTACTGGATCCGTGTCAGCCAAATTGTTTGGTTTTAAAGTCATTGCCTGTCCCCCCACACACCCAAAGAGGAGCTGTTTGCAGAGAGCTGGATCAAAGATTTTTTTGCTACCACTACCAAGTGCTGTACACAGGCCAAGAAAACGAAAGGCTTCAGTTTAGCTATAGACACACATACATATATATATATATATATATATATATATATTATATAAAGAGATGTATTTACATATTTTTGGCATTATAGATACATACACGATATGGGAAAAGAACGTTGCAAAACAATAATAGTAATGGCAAGGTCTTAAAAAGGGGATTAAAAAAGATTAAATTATGATATAATAAAAAATATGCAAGGAAAGGCAGATTTTTTTCATACAGAAGGAAATGGTGAAAAATCAAACTTTCTAAAACTTAAGGATATTAAAATATTTATGTATAAAAAAAATATATATTATATATAAAAATATATATAAAACAAAAACAATAAATAAAAAGTTATACACCCTATGAAAAAATTGTAAATGAAAGCATGTAATTTTTGTAAAATTATAAATAAAAGTTTGTCTTGTCGAGAGCTTTTTGAGGTGTTTAAATTAAGGCGTGGGGCGGGCTGGGGTCGGTAAAACAAGTTAAGGTCGAGGAACATTTACAGAGTCGCCTTATTACAGTCTAAATACAGGGGGGCTAGAAACACATTTAGAATCCACTTTTGTGATAAGCAAAAAGATTGCGCGCATTTTGGCCACTAAATTAGCATCGAGCTTCCTCCACATTTACTGGAACTTTTCGGTGAGTCCGCGCAGCTTGATGGCCATCTCCGACAGATGCTGCTGCAGCAGCCGCTTGTTGACCTTTTCCCTGTGCAAGAGATTTAATTTAAAATCCTGTAGCTTCAGCAATAAATTATCCACACTCACTTGATAATCAACGAAACATAACGCGACTTTTCTGCATCGTTTAGCAACGGTGTGGGAAAATGTGGGACGGACATCACGGTCTTCAGCCAGATGGCCAGCTCCGCAGGATATTTTTTATTGAAAGCCAATATAATATCGGCAAACTTGTCCACCTGCGAGCGTGGCGTCAAGTAACCCACACACATCATGATAAAGTAGATGGTTTGTTCGCCCGTTTTCAATACGACCTCGGTGATGTGCTCATGATTGCGGGATTGAATCGTAAAGTGTGTCATAAACTGTATGCCACAGCGTATGGCACCGCTCTCGGGCAGCGTCATGCAACGCTGGCCATAGTAGACAAGGCGATCGTAGGCCAGTGACTTGTCCTCCAATGCCTGCGGTATTTTCTTGACAATTTGTGCCAGGCAGCCAAAGAACGCCTCCATGGTGTCTGATATATTGGAGAAGTTCTGCTGTGGCGTGTTCTCAAACAGCTTGAAGCTGTGCTTGATAAACTCACGCAAAAGTTCTTGCATATACGGCTTGCAGCCCTCTTCCCTGTAAAACATGACAATGGTCTGGGGAAAGACAATAAATTAGTAAAGAAATAGCAAGCGTAGAGCGCACTCACTGTCTTGGATATCTCTAGCGTTGGTGCACAGCAGCGTGTTTGGAAACTGGCCACAATAAAGTAGCATAAATCCTGCAGCATGGGCCGGAAGCTGCTTCTTAGATTCATAATGGCATGCTTCATGGCACTGCAGGCGGCCTTTAGACATGTAAAGAAAGAGCATGAGCACGTGGAATGTAACTTAAACATATTTTTTCTACCTCTAAAACATCCAACTCCTCCACCCACATCTCAGCAATACGCCTAAAGATCGGCATAGTTCTCTGCATAACCAACAAAACGGGCTGCACAATTTGTATTTCCTTATCCTCTTCACTCAAATCGGTATTCAACGAAGAAAACAGCGTGGAGATCATGTTGAGACGGAAAATTGTGCGTATCCGTGCGGTGGGAGTTTTCTGCGGGAATTAAGAGAAAGCTTTTATAAACAAAAAGAAAAAAACGCGCGTTTTTGCGCGTGCCACTCACCCCATCGGATTGACAAATGGCCTGCAATTCTTCAAAGCATGGACTGACTATAATATCCAAATACTTGGGTATACCATCGGACGGCAGGAGACTCATCAATTTGCCAATGCTAAACATTAGACGCACCGAATCCGAGTTCTTCATGCGTCCGGCATTGAGCGAGGCATGACAGGCATTGAGCAGCGGCTCGGCATATGGCTTCAATTGCAGCTGACAGTCGCGACACAGCTCCTTCAGGCCGAGCGTGGCCTGGGCCGACATGGACGAGTTTAAGCCGCGCACCAGCAGATCTATCGCTGCCGGTATATAGGTGGGATTCTCCATTAACCAATTGCAATAGGAACCAATTGTCTCCAGTGCTGTGCCCAGCAGTTTGACGTTCATCTTTTCGTAGGGGATTTCGTTGAGGACCCGCATCAAATTTGGAATTTGTCTTGAAGTGTCGTGGGTAAAGTGTTCGGCCACCGATTGAAAGGAGTAGATGCAGGCCTCCAGTTTGGTCCAGTGCGTGGGATGGCGTTGCATGTCCACTATGGCCTCGTCCAACATGGCCGACAGGATGACCAAAATGTAATCGTGCAGCACATCATAGCAGTACATCTATGGGAAACGCATGATCTATGAGCAAAGTTACTTTAAATTTGCATTGAAACACTCACAAAGGTATCGGATATATCCTGTCTGTAGCATCGAAAACATTCCAAATCATCAGAGCTCCATCTGTCCAATGATTTCTCATCGGGCTGCTCCGATTTCCGCACCAGAATGCTCGTCAAGTGTGCGTACAGCGGCTTAATGTACTCCCAGCATCTGCGCTTGTGCTCCTCATTGGTCATGGCAAACACCTCGTCCTGCAGCATGTACCAGAAGGCCAGGGCCATGGTGCTGCAGGATTCCTCCACGGGATAGATGCCCGGCTTGTCCGTGCAGTGTAATATCTCCTGAACCATGCGATTCACTGTAATCGGTAGATTCGGATCCGGTGAGATGACGCCACTTAGCAGCAGCGACGAGTGCCGCTCGACGGCGGACACAAACAGCATGTAAATGTGTACGATGATGTCCTCGTTGTCGTTGTCACGCTTCCATTCCATTTTTGTGATCTCACAGAGCGAGTCCAGATACATGCGAAGCAGCACAAACGCCGTCTTTGGATAGCTGTGGCTCTCCGGCTGTATCATAATGTTTACCATGGACTTTAGGCAATTTTCGGCCAGCTCATTCTCATCGGCGGACATGCAGCCATCGCCGGTTTGCACGGCGGGCCAGTAGCACTTGTTGACCACCTCCAAAAGGACAGCTGTAATGGACACACAAGCCTCCAGGGAGTAGCCAATGTTCCTATGCGACAAGAGAGTTAAATAATCGTACAACGGGGAAAGTGCGTGCTTACTTGATCCAAGTGCCAACGCACTTGACGGCTCGTATCATGTTGCTGAATGCCTCGGTATCCCACACGCGGTTCATTTGTTGCCTCAAATATGCCTCCATCGTCTGCAGAATGACGGGCACCCGCTTGCCCACCTCCGCACGCAGCGTGACACGTTTCACCGAGGTGTGTATAACCTGCGCCTCCTCTGGTATGGCCGTCAGCACCTCCAGCATGATCCAGAGCTGCACATCGGGCTTGACATTGGGTATGCGCTGGTTTTGAAACGTATCAATCACCTCCTCAATGGCATTCGGCCACTCGTCGAGCATGTGGACAATGTATGCTCCCAGTGCAATGCACAAACGATTGAGAACAATCTTTGGTCCGCCTGCAAATTGCACAATTTTCTCGAGTATCTTTTGTTTGAGCTCCTCGCGGTTTTCCGGCGGCACCTCGTTCCAGTGCTTCATCAGCTTGGCGTGCAGGGTGATTGCGCCAAAAAACTGCACTTCTTGACTCTGCGCGGGAAGAGAGTAGAGTGGGAGTTGGTGGAACATATCATCGTGGTATGTGTATGCATGGCAGATGCATGCCAGCGTATACATATTGAATTAATTGATGCGCAGGTCATATCTTACCTTGCCCAGTTGCATTAGCTGCCATGAAAATTGCCAGGCTTGTGGGCTGCCCTCGGCCTCCGTAAGCCATTCGTGCGTAATTGCCTGCTCGTGGGAGTTGGAGCGATAGAAGACGACAACAGCCTCCTCCAGACGTGCAATATCGATGTTTTCCAAATTGATTCGTTCCATTTTGCCGTATTTGTGATGTCCCCCGGTATCGATTTGATTCAATTGATTGGGTTTCTTGTTTTGATATTGCCTGAAGAAGGCCCAGGGCCCAGACTTTTCCCCAGGATTTTTGCGACTCGGTTTTTCCGAAGAAGTTTTTTTTGTGCTGCTTCTTCTTTGCTTATTGACCGAATGTTAGGGTTGCCAGCAATACAAATTCTTGCCGCTTCAACTGATACGAAATATAATGAACGGGCACTAACCACACTGGTCTGGTTATAAGATATTTTTAAAGAGTGCAAAGATAATTAAAACATGTTTTAATCTTATTTTGTACACACAAACCAATAGTCTGTAATTTACTATATTAATTTTTGTAAAGAAATAAGAGCTGTCAACCCTGATAAGCGCAAGACTTGTTAACACTGGCAAGCAGACCAACTAACAAGTGGCAAGCAGTGCATGCAATTAATTTTGAAATTAAGCATTTTATAAATATAAATAACTTTAATTGTAATTAACTTTACTATAATATTGTTAAATATAGTTAAATTGGTGATACATATTCATTCACCAATAGATTTAAATAAATAAATCTAAGGGAATGTAAAATTAAGTCGCCAAAAGCAGTATTTCAGCTTGAATCCCCACTCGGAAATTAAATGTGTACTCTCCCGATCAACGTAGAGCACAATTTCCTGGTTATCCACAATGATTGAGGCTGCTTTTTCGGCGTAATCATCGCTCTTGGGATCCAACATGATGCGTTCTGTAACAACCCACTTATCCGTCACTATGCCAACGTTCTGCTGCTCCAATAGCTTAAAAATAATGCTCAATTCCTTGTCCTTAACAACGATGGGCAGTACAAATGTGCACTTAATCAGGCCAAAAAACTCAATAAAGCTGCAACACTTGTAGCGTGGCGGAGTCATCGACCTGGTGCCATTGGTTATCCACTCACAGGTTCTCTCATCGTCGGATATAATCATTAAATTATTACCAAGAACCTTTACAGAGGCGTTTTCGCTGAATTGAAGCTTTTCACAGTCCTCGAATGTCTCGAAGAGTCCATGGAAATGATTCATCAGAGAGCCAAAACCAGAAGTAGTTGATTCAATTTCATTTTTGATAATTAAAGCGAATTTACGCTTCTCTGGCATTACACCGCCATAAGAAAGTTCACCATCAATCCTGGGCAATTGTTTTGGTGCGCTGCATACAACTATTTCGGCTGTATCCTTTACACCTTTGGTGTCCTTAGCAACTTCAGCATTGGTGATTTCCTCCACAGGGGCCACTGGTTCAGGTTCTGGTTCGGCGACATCTTTAGCTTGAATTTTAAGAATAATGTCGCTGGCCGGCGGTGTTAACTCAGAAGCGGTGACGTACCCAGAAGAATTTGTAGTATTTTCTTGAGGTACAAGTGTCGCATTCAATGTATCGTCGACGAGAGAATGCAAGTCCATATTTTCAACGGAAAGACGTGCCCTAAGAACTAAAACTTTAGAAATATTCATAAAGATTTAAAGATAACTGTACTATTACCTTTTTGCTTGAGATAACATTGTTTTAACATTATTCTTGTGGACTCTTTTTTGATATTTTTTTGCCTTTGAGCTGCCGCTGCTACTGGTGGAGGAGCCGCTGTTACTGCTGGAGTCGCTTGTTGATTCGCTGGTGTCCTCACTGTAGGACTGTTCCGAGTCTGAAATCTCAAGATGGGCCACTTTTTCTATGGGCAAATTTCTATTCTCCAGCGGCAAGCTAAAAAAATTGTTTTGCCTCTCGCCTTCCTCCTGATTGTAGAATTGCAGAAAGCAAACAAAATCCTCCATTTTGTACAGCGAGAAAGCGGTCCCGTTGCTTTTATCCACTTGACAATCTAGCACTGCAGACACCTTATCGTGGTTGCCAATGGGTCTGTCCAGGGCGTAAATCTGCTGCAGATCTGCTGGGATACCTATGGATGGCTCCAGTTGCAGCTTCAGGTCGTAGATGGTTGCGCCGTCATCTATTGGAAAAAATTGCGGTGGCTGCAAAGAAATATTTGAATTATTTGCATGTCGTGTATTGTATATACAATTTACAATGTCAAATATGATGCAGCATATTTATAGCTCACCGCTGTGTTATCTGAGCTTTCTAGCTTTAGTTTTACAAACATTTTTAAAGCAGAATTAAAATAAGGCACGCGGACGCCACACACTTGCGGAATTTTTGACAATTACAGTTAAAGTTCAGAGCTGTCATTTCTTGCACGGACGATTGGTGGCACTATACAGCGACTGCAGCTGAGTACGTTTTCCAGCACTAGAGTTTTGCCGCATTTGTTTACAAATGTAAAAACATTGAAATTTGCTAATTCCCTTAAAAAAGCGTGGAAATGGGCTCGCCGAAGCGTGTTTTGGTCATCGACAATGGCTCATACGAATGTCGTGTTGGATGGCACAACGTCAAGGAGCCGGCGCTACGATTCAGAAACGTCTTGACCAAACCTCGCAAAGACAGAAAAAAGGAAGCCACGCCGGGCGCCTCGGATGGCACCACGACACCGGTCGCAGCTGAGGTGCCAGCCGAAATACAAGTTGGCAATGACATAACTAACATTGAGGCAGTGCGTGCTCATCTAAAGTCGCCATTCGAGCGGAATATTATAACGAATTGGAATCATCAGGAGCAGATCTTTGATTACATTTTCACCAAAATGGGCTTCGAGGGTGAGCAGAGCATTGCCCATCCGATTGTGCTGACCGAGGCGCTGGCCAATCCCAACTTTTGCCGCCAGAACATGAACGAACTGCTCTTTGAATGCTATGGCATCACCGCCGTTTCCTATGGCCTCGATGCGCTGTACAGCTGGGAGCACTATCAGAGTCGTCGCAAGAAGGTTTGGGGGCTCACATCCATAGATGTTTGACTCGTTTTGATAAAGAGTTATCTTCTCTTTGCAGGTGTCGGATGCACTGATAATCTCTTTTGGCTACAGCACCACCCATGTGATTCCCGTGCTAAATGGAAAGCTGCAGCTGCAGCATGTGCGTCGCTTGAATGTCGGCGGCTATCACATGATTACATATCTGCTGTGTCTGATGCAAATGAAGTATCCGGTGCATCTGAATGCCATCTCCATTAGCCGCATGGAGAAGCTGGTCCACGAGCATTGCCACATTGCCATCGACTACAAGGAGGAGTTGCTCAAGTGGGCACAAATCGATTATTACGAGGAGCACATCATGAAAATCCAGCTGCCGTACAATCAGGTTACGGCCACCAATGCTTTACTCACCGCCGAACAGAAGCTGGAGAAGCGGCGCGAGTTGGCAATGCGCCTGATCGAGATTAAGAATCGTCGGGAGGCCGAGAAGCTGCGCGAGGATGAGCAACAATTGTTTGTCTACAACAAACTGCGGCAGCTCTATGAGCAGGATAAGCTGCAAAAGTTTGAGCTGGCTCTGGCCCAACAGCAGATTGGCAATCTGGAGGAACTGGACTCGCTCATCAGCACAATTAGTGGTCGGATCAAGCGCATCAAGGATCGTCCTTTGAGCGCACCCAAGCCCAGCAGGCAGCAGGATAAAATAGACAAAATGCCAAAGCCGCCAGAGGGTGTCCCGCAGGCGGATTGGTTGGCCGAACTACAGGGCAAGCGTGAGCAACTGCTGCAACGCAAGCAGACGCGCCAGCAGCAGCGACACGAGCAGGGCAAGCGACACACGCACGCCGCACAGGAGCGGATGCGCATCATCTCCACGCTGGCGCGCAGCGAGAAGCGTCGCAAGGCCAACGGTGAGGAGGAGGACGACGGCTTCGGCATGAACGACAACGATTGGGATGTGTACAAGCGCATCAATCGGTATAACGATGACAGCGACTCGGATGCGGACAACGAGCAGCTGCTGGAGTACGAGAAAATACTCAGCCACTACGATGTGAACTTTGACGAAGGGAATGCGGTGCAGCAGCAGAGCGCAGCGGAAAATTATCAATTGCATTTCGGCGTAGAGGATATCCGCGTGCCAGAGATTCTCTTTCAGCCGAGCATGATTGGCTCCTCGGAGGCGGGCCTGGCCGAGTTGATTTCCTTTGTGCTGAAGCTCTTCAACGCGCAGGAGCAGCAGCGTATGGTGGAGCATGTCTATCTAACCGGCGGCAGTGCACAGCTGCGTGGCCTCAAGGAGCGCCTGGCTAGGGAGTTTCAAGAGATGCGACCATTTCAGTCGACGTTTTCCATATACGAATCGGATGACCACACGCTGAGCGCCTGGCTGGGTGCCTGTGTGCAGGCCAGTCAACCCAACTTTGGCCAGACGCTGACCACGCGCAAGGATTACCAGGAGCACGGCAGTGAATACTTCAGGGAGCATCGTGCTAGCAATCTCTTTTATCCTACACCGAAAGATTAAACATTTATTTGTCCAAAATATACACACACAGCTAGCAACTAAAAGAGAAACTCTGTGACATCGTTGCCGAAGAGTAGGTTCCAGGATTTGGGCACGGTCAACTTGAAGCTGCCGTCGCCAACGCCGCGCAGCTGCAGAAAGTCTTCGCACAGTTCGTTCAGTTCTCGCACGATCAGACTGGCATCGGTGGAGTTGTCACCCTCGATGAGGTAACGGAACAGCAGCATGACTTGCACTTGAGCCTCATCGAAGGCCTGGAACAGCTGCAGGGCGTTGCCACCCCCATAGATGGCCTCGCCGGTGTGTTCCTTCCACTTGATGAGTTCGGGATTGCCGAGCTGTGGAGCGTGCGCAAGTTTAAAGTTCTCGCTGGCACGATAGGCCCACGGGGAAGCCTCAATAACCCGTTTCTCAAAGCCAAAGCTGCCACTGAGTATTATTACTCGCTTTGCGCCCTTGATGAGTTGCACCAATTGCTGCTGGAAGCTGCGTGTGTGGCGAGCGATCCATGGTGCACGGAACTGTATGACCAGCAGTTTGTCCTCCACGCCCTCGTACAGCTCACACGATGAGACCTTCTCGTTGGGCTCGTGCTGGTAGGCGGAAGGTCCGTAGACCGGTATCAGCGCTGGATGGGAGACGGATCCAATGCGTTTCAGCTGTTTGGAGGCAATCAACAGGTCACAGGCTAGTTGGGCCGCATTTCCCACGCAGATGCTGGGTATAATAACCGTGTAATCGGACACATCTAATGTCGTTTTCTTATTCTTTAGGAACAACATAATATTCAATTATTTATTTCGGTTGCAGTCAAAATGAGAAGTCAAAAAATGAAAGTAATGATTTAGTGTTGTGAAATGTGTCGGACAAGACTCGATAGAAGTGACGACAACTCTAGGACGGTTTGCTATTGTAATATAAATGTGGTTTAAAACTTCGCCATGGCACTCTACATAATCAGAATAAATTAATTAAATTAATCAGGTTGTTTCTCATGCCTCTTTATTTAATATTGATAACTTCGATTACCAATAGTCTTTCCAATCGATAAGCCATTGCAGACGCTTAACAGCACTACCTCTTTTTTTGCAAATGTTTTCCGGCATATTCGTCAACAAAAATGTCAAACTCTGTGAATATATCGGTGGAAACCACTTGCGAGAAAAAGATACGGGAGATTGGATATGATGGCACCGAGCTGTACCAACCGTAAGTTCACAGTTTGAGTGAAATAAGGTTTTCAGAACAAGTTGTTGATCAAACTTTTCAGAGCGCCGACCCTGTCCGAGAGCCTGGCCAAGTGTGCGGCCCGCATAGACTTTAGCAAAACATCGCTGGACGATCTGAAGAAGGAGGAGAAGACAGCGGCAGCGGCTGAGGAAGAGAACAAAGATGGCACACAGTTCCAGGAGAGTCTTTGGCCCTGGGATGCGGTGCGGAACAAGCTCAAAGATGCACTCACCGAAATCTGTGTGCTGTCCGATGTGATTTCCATAGCTAAGGACAAGAGATACTTGGTACTGGACCCACTGCTGGAGGAGGGCGACGACACAAAGCCCATTGTGCAGGTTTACAGTCGCAAGAAGGCAATCTCACAGGCGGCACAGGTTTTGTTGAGCGGAGCGGAGCGTCTACGCAATGCACACAGCGAACAGCGCAGTCGGAATGTGTCCGACTTTCACATAGAACTTCTGCGCCTGCGTCAGAACTGGCGCTTGAAGAAGGTGTCCAATGCGATCATAGGAGATCTCAGCTATCGCACGGCGGGCTCCAAGTTCGGAATGAGCGGCACCTTTGAGGTAACAAAAGCGGAGGAGGCATCCGACGATGATAGTGCCATCAGCTCGACCACTAGCAGCAGCACAGCCACCAACAATGGCATGCAGATGAAGGCCAGCTCCGCGCTGCGAGTGATTGTTCCCGCTGAGCTGCAAGGTGTGGCCTACATTAAGGTCATTACACAGAAGGACCAAGAAGATCTGTGCACAGCGCAGGTGAATTTGATGGGCCATGGGCCGAACATAACCGCCCAGGTGGGCGTCTGGCAAAAGACGCTGGAGTTTGCCCAGAACGTACTCTTCTGCAAGGAGCTGTTTGCACAGCTGGCACGCGAGGCCATTCAGCTGCAGGCACCCATACCGCATGTGGTCATTGGCAATCAGATACGAGCCACCCTGCTGCCCAACATACAGCTGATCATCTCGCTGTGCCACTCCACCACCTTTGACTCGAATCAACCGGCGCCGATTAACGATCACGATCATGTACTGGAGCATTCGCTTCACCAGCTGCTGCGGGAGGTTCACTACAAGAACTCGCACCATCCGTTCCCCCACCCGGCGAGTGCGCCACTGGGGCCATCAAAGAAACGCATGCTGGCCGGTCCAATGGCTGCGGATCGTGAAACGCTACTGGACATGACCAAAACGCAGACCATACTGGAGCAAATCATTGCCCAAGCGCAGCATATATTCATGCGCAAGCGCACCCAATATGTGCTGGATACGCTGGCGAGGGATGTGAAGGATCCACAGATTGTGTCCCACTGGAATGCCATGAACTCCCCGACCATGTCCTGTGTAAAGATTAACATTGTTACCCACGGCTACGATGCCATTGGACGCACTTCCTTGGTCATCCATGTCAAGGAGCGCTCACTGAAGTGCATTTGTCGTGATGGACGCGTCATGCGCTTGTCCTATGAGCCGCAAGAGCTGCGCGATCTAATACTCTGTCAAATCAACTCTCATCAAATCTCCTGCCTGGTGAGCCTCGCCCGCTGCATGGCCTGGACGGTGCTCTCGAACAGCAATCATTTGGGCATTGGCAAAGTGGAACCGCTGGGCAATGCCAGTTCCTGCCTGTTGGCCTCCCCCAATGGTGATCGCATGATAGCCGTTCAAATACGCTGCGATCCGCAAATTGATGTCAAGGTTTACATTGCCAGAAGTCCGCGTCAGGATTTTTTCCCCAGTCCTCTGGTGCCGGAGAAGTTGTGGGAGAATCTGGGTGGCAATTTCAAAGAGGTGGGTGAACTTTCCCGCTGTGTTTCTTGCTAATATGCTAATGTTATCCATTAATCTTTTGCAGGTAAAGTTTGATAAAATCGAAGGAAAGAGTTTTCTGAACAAAATGGAATTTCTGATGGCTTCACTCACAAGCAACACGGCCTAAGGGCGGCTCGTCTGCTGCATAAACCTTATAAATATTGTTCGTAGCTCGATTTAAGGAATATTTAAATTAAAAGAATTATAATTAAGGTTACACGTTAATTGATATACATTTGATTCAAGTATTCCAGAGAGGATGTACCATTTCAAGGGCTCATTCAATGCATCAAGCTGTAGCTGACGTGATTGTGCCATAGTCGCGGCTGATACAAATGCACCTCCGGTGACATATTCTGATGAATGAGGTTGAACGTATCCTCCAGACTCACAACATTCGCTCGATTGGTGCTCTGCAGGAAGAAAGAATAATCTGTTATCTCTGGCTTAACCTGCACGACCTGCACTGCTTGCTCACCCAACGTTCCAGATCACAGAAACTGATGTTGTAGTTTTGGCCACGTGGCTGCAGTGTCAGCACCTCCATCTGATCCACAACAGGTTGCGAGAGACGCAAGTAAAGTCCGCGATTGGTGGAGAACAGTATGGGCACACGTTTCGCCGGCGCCGAACCGGCACCAGTTGTAGCACCACCAGCAATCTGTCGATAAGTCGGACAATGATTCACCGAGGCTATGGTCTCCTCCGGCATCTGTCTGTCCCCTGCAGCGCCAACTGCAGTGCGCACCAGTCCCATGCAAGAGTGGAAACAGGACGCCACTTTGTTGCATTAATGAGTGTAGTTGTCAGACTTTTGATTCTCTGATTTCCTCAGCGACACTCAAGTGGAATTTGTTGGACGTGCATGGCTACTGCTTTATCGATTTTTTGTTTTTTGTGCAGCATTTGCGGGCAACACTTCCATCAGCACTGACCACCGTCCGTTTAGTGTGTAATTAGCTGCGCTGCTCAATTTGTATGCGATGGCCGGTTGCCCAGGCAACACAAAGTAATGTTGTCCAGTCCACACGGCAGTGCAACTGTCATAGCCACAGCCATGGCCATGTTCGTGTGCCGGGCCAATTGTCTGTCGTCTGCAGGTGGGTTGCCAGATAACATGCGACACGCACTTTGTCGTGCCAAATTGTTCAATTATGACAAAAAAAAAAAACAGAAATCTTTACTGATTGAGCGCCGTGATTGCAGTTGCAGAACAAAACTATTATCTAGAAGAGGGGAATGTTGCTTTGGGTTTAATCAAAAGCTATAAATAGTTGCCCAAAGCCCTAACCTCACTGCACTGCTTCATATTCTGCATTTATTGTGGGGACATTTTCAAGTTTAGTTTGTCTTTCCAGGAGTTTTCCTTGTGCCAAAGGACATGCACACAGACAGGATATGATCATAGACACATACACCTACACCTAATTTTTTCACCAAATTAACTCCATTTTAAAAACCCCATTAAACAATTTTCTTTTTTTACTTTTTACAAATATTGTTTTAAAACTTTATTTCATTTTTATATTATATTGTTTGTTGTTTTATTTTGTTTGTGTTGTGTACTTGTAAATTGTATAATTAACACTAAAATACTTATTTAAACATATTTCCATATTCAATCGGTTGTTGTTGTGTTTTTTGTATTTCATTTCATTTTTTTCGATTTTTTTTTGTCTGGGTTACGTTTTTGCCATTTTTTTGTTTTTCTCATTTGTTTGTTTTGTGGGAAGGGGTTGGAGAGGAGGTAGGGGGTAGGTAGAAGGGGCATTTTATACTTTTGTTTTACTTATAACTCCGCTCCATTATACATTTATGTTTTTTGCTTGTTTTATATTTCATTTTTTGTGTGTTTGTTTTATTCATTTAATATATAGATCCAGCAATTGAAACGCTTCAACCGATAAGCGTTAGTAAATAAATGTAACTTATTAACTATTTAAGTTTTTCTCGCTTTAGGCGCAGCAGACGCATCATGGATGCGCGCGCGCGCGCGGCATGCCACACAATTTTAGATTTAAATCATGCAGTAGCAGCACATACTATAAATTGTTTCCATCTTCGTATATATTTTAAATTCCGACACATTAAACATATACAATATTTAAAATAGATTTTTTTCATGTTTTCTCTTGTTGTTTTTGTTTCTTTAAATTAATTTATCAATTGATTTGCGTGTGTTCGTGTGTGTGTGCTGTTAATGTGTGTGTGTGTGTGGTGTTTGTTGTATTATTTTATAAAGAAATGTATTTAATTTCTTTATTTATTTTCCTTTTGATTTGGGGCTTATAAATTATCTTCAAATCTAATGCTATTATACGGGTGGATTTTCCCTACTACTGCTCCCCGCCCTTCATCAATCATCGAGCATCAATTATGAATGCGAAATGTGCTGTATCGGGGATATACATAGATGCAAGCACAGACGTATACATATATACTATATATATATATATATATATATATATATATAATCTATGTACCTTTTATAAATTGTTTGTTTTGTACAGCATTCATTTTGTTTTTGTTTTTAGTGTGATATTTTTTGTTGAATTAAAGTTTTCTTCATTAGGTTAAGGTTTCTACATTTGTGGTTGCCTTTGCTGCCGTTTAAGAAATATATTTATATATATATATAATATATATTTGCATATATGCATATTAAACAGCTAAATCTTATAGTTATGCGCGTAGCTATTCTGCAATAAATTAGTGCATACAATAGGCTACAATTCGTATCCCTTTGCTGGTATACATTTATATTATGTAAGTTTCTTATGCTGTCCTAATGCACACAATGCCGTGAGGAAATCGAAACGAGTGCAAACTGTTTGCCGATCTCCAAAAAACTGAGGGGGAAAAGTCATACATATCATATTATATCGCATATATGGTATTGCTCGCTGTTAAAAGGAACTTAAATAACTGTTTTCGTTTTAGTTGTTTGGTTAAAATATAAATACACATGAGCGAAAGAACAAACAATGCAACAAAAACGTTAAGCAAACAAACGAACAAACAAACAGACGAGAGACAGAAATACAGAATAAAAGCAATACAAAATACGACGGACAGCAAAGTGCCAAGTTTTCTATTTGTACAATGAGAATTAAATAGAAGAATATTATTTGGGACAAGAATGAGGCCGATCTAGACACCGTTGCCCGTGCCCTGCCCCTGCCCTGACCATTGTGCAAAATCAATCGGAGGAGCATTTTATAAGAAGGTTTTTGTGTGGTTACAATCTATACATATACATGTCCAATAATGCTAGCTATATATACTCTCAACTATGTGTGTATTTATGCATATTATTATAAATATTTCATTCATTCATTTGATGCCTTAAGCGGTTGATCTTTTGTTGCGCCTTGCTTAACAAAAAAATCATTTTGCGATTAATGATTTCTTTCTACAATTATATATATATACTATATATTATTGGTATTATATATGCAAAAACATAAATCACACGAAACTAAAAAATGTACATACATGGTAGTCACTGCTCTATATATATATATACACCCACACATATAAATCTATATAATGCTATGGTATCATAAATGGGTTTTTAGTTTAATAAGCAAGTAAATTGGTATTAATAGTGGTTGGATGGGATTGGCATAGTCAGAAACATAATAGATTAGGTATTGATTGTGTGTGTTTGTGTCTTGCTTGAACTAAACAGAAGGACTTGCTAGACTTGTTGCATATTTTTTGTTAACATTAATTTAAGTATATTTGCTTTTGTTTCTTCTCTTTTATGGTCAACTCTTGGTTGGTTTCTCTGTTGTGTTGTTGTGGTGTATCGTGCCCTTTGCGGTCTGCTGCTCTGACAGCGTTGCCAGACATCGAATCTGCCCACGCCGTTCCGCCCTAACCTCACTGCACTGCTTCCCAGTCTGCATATTTTGGGGGGGAACATTTTCAAGTTGAATTTACGACAAATAATATTAAAAATACAATACAACAACAAAACGAACTTATCTAAAATCAACAGCGTGTGTAATACAAGTAGAAATTTGCAGTGCAGTGGGCTATACAGGAACCGGAAACCTGGCACAGATCCTTGTCTGTCCTTGTTCGTTTGATCCTTTTTATGGTTATACAGTTTTACATTTTACAAATTGTTGTTTGCTTTTTTTGTTTTAGTCTATTATATTTAAGGGTTTCTCTATTTTCTCATACATGTATTAATTTTAATTACTTTATGCTTATGTATCAAGGATTTTTACTACCGCTTTTGTTTTATGCTTGTTTTGTTTTTTGTTTTTTTTTGTGTGTTGTTTTTGTTTTTAGAAATTGTTGTTGCCATTGCTGAGCAGATTGGAGGCTGCCGCCCCAAGGGCTGCCGCTGCTATGGATGCCGCCGATGAGCTGCCCGACGTGCCATTGGATGCAGCTGCTGCCACAACAGCTGCCACAGCGGCTGCAACCGTATTGAGATGCTGTTGTTGCTGCTGCTGCTGCTGATGAAGTTGCTGCTGCTGCTGCTGATGATGTTGATGATGTTGTTATGGCATAAAGTAGTCCGGATGATCTGTGTCTTTCTCGAACCGCTTGGCCTCCTCGTGCATGCTCTCCTTGATCTTCAGTATGGCCGCCGATTCGGTTTGATCATTCTCGCCGGGGCCGCCAAACGCGCCGAGATTATAGTCACCCATGCCGCTGCCCGAGTCCTCGCGTGGCGTACCCGGTCCCCCGTTGGCTGGTGAGTTCTTCATGCCATCCAGGCCAGTGCCGTCGGGGCCACCGCCGCCATTAAGTACAGGACCCATCGAATTGGGGCCACCACCCATTGGACCCATGCCGCCGGGTCCGCCCCCACCGCCTCCGCCATCAGGGCCACCGCCCATGGGGAATTCTGGCTTCATGAGTGCATACATACTGTCGCCGGGTCCGCCGACAGGACCACCTTGCGTGTTATCCTGAGGCGAGGGCATTATGGGCGTTCCTGGTCCGGGTGGACCATTCGAGCCGGGGCCGGGTCCGTAATTTCCTGGTGATGATGATGAATACGCATTCAGTGGCGCCGACGCATTAGGCTGCCATTGCGGCGGTCTCCCGCCCGCTCCGCCCATGCCCATTGGCGGCATTCCACCGGGTCCAGGTGCAGGTCCACGCATTCCGCCGGGTCCGCCATAGCCCATGGGACCCATACCGCCGGGTCCACGTGGCGGATTCATGCGTGGATTCATGGGACCCATGCCGCCACCAGGTCTTGTCGGATCCATACTATTCGGCATCATGGGCTGTCCGGGCGGGCCATTGAATTCGTTACCCATTCCCTGCATACGCACGCCGGGTCGCGGGCCACCAGGGTATCGGGGTCCGCCCATGAACGGCGGCTGGCCGGGCATCATCTGTGACGGCGGCGGCTGTGGACTGGATGCATGCGTTGGCGGCGACGGCCGCATTGTTGAATTTGGAAAAAAGTTTGGACCCATTGGTCCGCCGGGTCCCATGGGACCGCCATCACCGCCGGGCGGCATCTGTCCCAGAGGGCTCGGCGCCGGACCGCCAGCGTTGTGTGGTCCGCCGGGTCCAATGCCATTCACGCCATAGCCGGAGCTGACGAAGCCGTAATCATGGAAGGCCTTGGCCTCCGAGCTGTGATCGCACTGATCCCGACGCTCGGGCGCAGCACAGTACAGATCCCAGAAGACGCACCACCAGGTGTGCAGGAATCCTGGCGGCTCGCCGAGCGTTATGTTCTTCTCCCATCGGATCTCGGAGAGGAATGTTTGTGCCGCCTTCTGGGCTCCCACGTGTAGCAGATATTCGTAGACGTAGAGGGCCAACTTCTCTCGTGCCTGGGCATCTGAGGGGACCGCTGATGTCTTTGATTTGCCGTACATTTTGTTGGTTTCTTGGCTTCTTGGCTGGTTTGTCGGTTTATGTTTATGTGATGTTTCTGGTTGCTGCTGCTGTTGCTGGCTGGTAAGGTGGTTTTCTTTACTTTTCTTTGCGCTTGTCTTGCTTCTTCTTTGCTTTCGCTCTTTTGCTGGTGCTTTGCCTTTTTTGTCTACCAACTTCCACTCTTTATTTAAATTTATATATTTTTATGTACTTTTTCGAGGCTCTTGCTGTTGCTCTGCTTCTGCTTCTTCTCGCTCTGCTTTTGGCTTCAGCGGCTGCTGCTCTGCTGCTGCTGTTGTTGTTGTTTTTTAATTGGCCGCGCTTTGAGCTCACGCAGCCGTTCTCTGCCGCTCTATTACTTCCACCATTTTTAATATAATTGTTGTTAATGTATTTCTTTGCAAATGAAAAATAAAACACACTTTGCGCTTTTTAACTTTTTGCGATTTTTTACAATAAACTTTTAGCGCGCTCTCCGCTGTGTGTCGCCACTTCTTCGTTTTACCGTTTATTTTTTTTCAGGTATTTTTTTGCCTGATTGTTGCTGCTTCTTCTTGCACAACCACTAAAAACAGAAAAAAGCAGAGAGAGAGAGAGAGAGAGAGAGCGTGAGTGAGAGAGGGCAAAATGAGCGACATTGTATGTATGTGTGTTGCAAATTTGTATATATGTATTCATGTGAGTGCCTGTGTATGTGTGTGTACTTGCGTGAGTACGAGAGAGGGATCTCGCGCATTGTCGACAAATCGGCACAAGTGCTACACTGACTGCCAACAGTTATGGTTCACTTTAGTTTATCATTTTATGAAATATTACTAAATAATAGATCCATTTTATAATTTCAAATTAGTCACTTTTATATTAAGAACAACGAACACATGCGATTTGAATAAAGTTAATAGAATCATTAAAGATGTACGCGAACTTTTAGCATAGACTTTTGTGCGTCGCTGTTCCGCCAGGTGAGTGAGTGAGTGATGCTCTTGGCTCCGTTTGGTCGTTTTGTAGGTAGCAAAAGGCTAGGCCAGGCCAGCAGCAGGCAACGTAATCTGTCTGTCTACTGTATGTGGCTCCCGCTGTCAAATGGCCATTCAAATCAAAATTCGTCTAGGGAGCTCCCCATTTTATTAACACACCACTGTGAGTGAGCGGAGTGAGTGAATGGGTGACAACAGCACCGAGAGAGAGAAAGAGAGAGGCAGGGCGCGTGGCGATAAGGCCTATTGGCTTTACAAGGCAGTTGCATCCGTTACTAGCCCCAGGGCCACGAATATCGAATATCTAATGGAGCTTCTACAGAGCCTCTTAAATATAGTCATTAAATAAGTATGAAGTGAGCCGCGCACGTGAGAACTGTGGCAGGCTACAGAAATGCACTTGGGCCCACCGCTGTAACCCACTCGAATATTGTTTATGGGGCTTATAGGGAGACTGTCAGCTGTTATCATTCGCCAGATGTTATCAGAAATCTATTATGAAACCAAATAAGGTTTACCCACGCCCAGAGAGCTATCCAAAAGCAAGTTGGGAAGTCAAGTACACCTTATTCTCTCTAGCTCCTCATGCAAAGTGGCTACGCTTTTGTGTGATGTGATGGCTGACTGTTCTGTTCTGTTCCCCTTTTCGGGCTGTTAATCAACCTCGAGAGTGAGTTCCCAGGGTTCTAAAAATCCACCAACTGGCGGCAGAGAAGAGGTTCTGACAGGGCCAAGCCCGAGGTTGGGTACTGGCTTGCACTGGCTACAAAATACCGGTCCATCTCTCTCTTTTCTTCTACAACGGCTGATGCTCGCTTGCTTCACTTCTGCTGCTGGCGTCGCTGCTGCCGTTTGTAGCTGGGCCGCCGCTGCCTCTACCTCTGTCCCTGTCCCCCTTAAACAGTAGTAGGACAAAACTACATTACTACCGATATTTCACCATTGTTGTTGTCGATTCGGTTTGCCGTTGTGTCTAGGTTGGAGACGTCATCAAATTTGGTACGCGGGTTTTCTCTCGCACGTTCTACTTTTTGCCACACACTCACACTGTCACTAACTCACAGATGGTTGTTTGTTATTGTTGGATACGCACCTTTTGTTACTCTCTTGTTTTAATACTTTTGTTTAAATTCATTTATTTTGGTTTATCGTGTATGTTGTTGATTGCAATTTTATCACAAAATCAACAAGAAACACAAACAGACACACAAGTTGAGAGGCTGCTGTTGGAAGTGCTCAGCTCGTGCGGACAGGAGAGCGAGAACGACAACGACAGCGAGAGAGTGAGTCGGGGGAGAGAGAGAGTGCGAGAGAGGAGGAGGAGCAAGAATACGGAATTTTATTACAATCTCATTGATTTTTCGTATTCGTATTTGTCTTTGCGGCTCCCCGGCTCTTCATTTGTTTTGCGCGCATACATATAATTATTTATTATTAAACCGCGCGCTATTTTACTTAGTTTTTGTTGTTGCTTTTTGCACCAATTCTCTTCGGGTGTACTTGTATTCGTGTGTGTGTTTTATGTGGGTATGTATATGTGAGTGTTTTTAATTTCTTTTCTAAACACACTTTTTCGAGTGCTGCTGTTGTTGCTGCTGTAATTTTTGCAAGTTTTCTCTTCACACGAGTTTCATTCGCCTTGCGCTTTGTCCGTGTATTCGACGATTGCTTTTACTGCCCGTTCGGCTGCTGCTGCTTCTTCTTCCACTAAAAATCGGCTCTTTTTTGCCTGTACGAAATTTTCACAGCGAGTTGGTGTGTTGAAATGCATTTTAAATGGATTTCATTTCAAAAGTAAACACAACATTCACATTTTCACTTCGATTACAAGACTTAATTCGTTTAAACAATTCGTTTTTACACCAATTTTAATTCGAATAAATATTTTTTTTGCTACAAGTTGTAAAGCAGTGTGTACTGTTAGACCCTCAAAAATATACCAGAATATACCAGAATATCTCATTTTAAAAATATACCATAAATATACCGTAGTCTTAAATCTTATTCCTCTCATGTTGATGTTCTATTTGATATAACTATCTTGCAAAGACTTTTAACACTAAAACAATAATTTGTCCGATTAAAGAATCCAATTGGCTTATACAAAAACATTAGGATTATGTCAGCAACTACTCTCCCGGACTCGTTTTTGCGTTCGATCTAAAATTTCTTTATAATCACACTATTCTGAGTTGAATAAGCCCCTCCCTCTCATCTGACTCTACAAGTCTACCACCGATAATTTGACATTTTGTGGTAATAACAAAGCGCAGCAAGTCTTAAATTCAAAATATAGCTAGCTGCGCGTGCAGTTGACGGTCAGGGAAATTCTCTCCTGTGTCTGAAAGGTCAGGGAAATTCTCTGTAAGACGCTCTCCCGATCTAAGAAAAATATCGATATATTTAACGCTATCCAACTCATTTATGCGTTGGGCAGAGAAATACGCGAATTTAGTTAATATTCGTATAAGTATTTTTTTTTGCTACAAGTTGTAAATTTAGAAAAATAACGATGGTAGCATCTATGAAAAGGATGTTTTTATAGCTGCGCACACCGATGATTTTGCAGTCATTCAGTGATGTTTTTCCAATCAATATTACAAATGTTTCCCAGTTCTGCTTAAAATGTTGTTCTTAAATGTTGCCAGAAAATGGCAGGAAACACATAACTTACAATGAATTGGCCGGCACTTTAAGAAATAAATTTGGTCACATCTCATTTTCCGCGCAACATCTTTGCAACTTGCAGTTGATATATCGCTTCCAACTATCGATTACAGGAAGTCAGTCTGTTGCGATGGCTGCCAGATGGTCGTAATAGGAATAATTGCCAGACTTATAAATAAAAGTGAATGGGCGCGAACATGCTGGCATTTGAAATCATTCTAGTGCGCAAGAACTTTAGCTTGCCGCCAAATGAAAGTAGTCTGTGTCTTGGGGCTTGGGGCATAAACATTAGTGCAACTGCAACTGTCCGTGGAAGCTGTGCGTGGTGCGGCGCTTTAAGTTCCCTCAACCTCAACTATTGAGCTGCAATTTCGCATTTATCGTGCTCTGCGACACGCGACTTCTACCATAAATACGCCATGCAGTTAATTGCAGTGTGACGATACGGCCTAAACAGTTGAGTATTTCAAAATATTGTTTAAAACATGCACAAAAAACATAATTCCTGGTTTTAGGCGTTTTTTTTTTGGCATTTATTGAGCACGTGATGACCGAATTGTAAGCGTTGCATGCGGCCATCCCTACCCCCTGCACACTCTTTTGAAAGTTTAAAAACTTTTTGCTGATTTTGCATATTGGAGGGCCTCCAATTGGCTCCTGTGGGCTCCATCGTTTACCCAAATGAATGGCGTCGCTTTTGAGCGGGATGCGGGCAGGGGGGATCTTGGCTTAGCTGCTGCTGTCCCTCAATTCCCTTTTGTCAATTTTTATTTGACACATTTTATTGGGCAAATCGGTAATGGTAATCCTTTTTGCATTTCTAATTTTGTTTAAAATTGAGGGCGACATTTTGAGCTGAGGGCTCTGCTCTGCTCTGCTCCGCTCTGTTCTCCAGCCTATTGACAGCTCCCAAGGGCAACATTTGTTGTTGTTATCCTTCGCTGTGAATCCCCGTCTAAATGTGAATCGAAAACAGATTTAAGGCTGATGTGGACTTTTTTGTTGTTGTTGTGGGGTTTTTGGCTCTTTGCTCTGGTGACTTTTGGCTACAAAAGTTTGTCCTCTTTTTGTTTTTGCCAAGTTAGCAGAATTTTGCAGCACGTGCCACATGTGTGTGTGTGTGTGTGTGTGTGTGTGTGTATGGACTTTCAATTAAAAACATTTCGAACAGTGACTGAATGGGGTTATTGCTGCAGCAAGGACTTGTACTCGATTCGATTCGTTTGGACTGCGTTGTGCCGCAAATCAGAATTTAAATACATTTGTTGCACATTAATCTGTGCGAGTGACTCATAATTCACTCTGTTTAATTGAATTACGCTTAAATAAATGACCTTATATTATCCAATAATGCTCACACACACAAGCATTACTAATTGCTTGACAATTTAATGCATTTATTTGTGCAATCTCATGGCAGCACACATCCTTATGGATATTTCCATGAACCAAAAGCAGCAGCAAAAGCAAAAGCAAAGCGAAACGAGAGAGAG